AAACTTGTTCATCTTGGCCTCTGAGGATAGAACAAGAAGCAATGGGCTTAAACTGCAGCAAGGGAGGTTTAGGTTGGACATTAGGAAAAAGTTCCTAACTGTCAGGATAGTCAAACACTGGAATAAATTGCGCAGGGAGGTTGTGAAATCCCTATCTCTGGAGATATATAAGAGTAGGTTAGATAAATGTCTACCAGGGATGGTCTAGACAGTATTTGGTCCTGCCATGAGGGCAGGAGACTCGACTCGATGACCTCTCGAGGTCCCTTCCAGTCCGAGTATACTACGATTCTATGATATGTTATAATCTTCAGATCTTCTTCTACAGTACTCCTTTCTAGGCAGTCATTTCCTATTTTGTATTTGTGTCCTTGATTATTCCTAAGGTCAGGTCTGCACTAGACCCAGCAGCTCAACTTAAGGTACGCAACTCCAGCTACGTAGAATAAGTAGCCGGAGTCAGCTTACCTTAAGCCAAGCTTCTCTGTGTCCCCACAGCGGGAGGCTGATGGGAACAAACACTCCCGTTGTCTTCCCTTACTCCTGGCAAGACCAGGAGTACCGGAGGATGGTGGGAGGGTGCACTCTGAGTGCGATTTAGTGAGTCTTAACTAGACCCGCTAAATCAAACTCCAGAAGATCAATCGCAGCAGCATTGATCTTCCGCGGAGTGAAGACATGTCCTTAACCAGTTTCATTCTAGTTCTTTCAGACCATTTCTCCAGCTTGTCAAATCATTTTGAATTCTAATCTTATCCTCCACGAGACTTATGACCTTTCTCAGCCTTATTATCCTCTGGAAACTTTGTAAGTGTACTCTCTATGCCTTCAATTAAATCATTTGTGAAGATATTGGCTAGATCTGGACCCAGGCCGGATCCCCGTGGGACTTCACTTGATAAGCTTTTCCAGCTTGAATGTGAACCACTGATAATGACTCTGTAAGTACAATTGTCCAACCAGTTGAGCATGTTGGGTTGTCTAGGTTATATTGCTCTAGTTTGCTCATGAGAAAGTCACATGAGACAGGCTGAAAAGCTTTGCTAGCGAGAAGTAGGAAAGTAAAATATGTGAAAGCCAGCAGAGTAAAATAGAGTAACAATTGCAAATGCATCAATAGAATCTCAGTGGATAGACATTTCAATGCTTGCTTGCTACAAGCAGAGCAGTAGAAATCTGTTCCAGTCACCTGACCAGGATAGTGATGGTGACTGTGAAATGGTCAGGGAGACTAGAAAAACTGAAAAGTCAATGGCTGCATCTACACTGGCCAGTCTTGCGCAAGAACATCTGCAAATGAGGGGTGGCGATGCCAGTTGAACTGGGAACTGGGAACTCCTGCAAACTTGCCTCTTGATGCTGTTCCACCTAACTATGAATTGAGCCAGCTACAAACTAGGATCTCTCTGTAGTCTGGTGGTTTAACTGTTTGCTTCAGCGGTGGGAAGATTCTTGGACATGCCTGGTTCAGCTCTTGCCTCTGTCCCTTCAGAATGGGGAATTTCAATGATCCCTTCATTGACCAGGTATGTGTCACTTCAGGGGCAAACAGTGAAGTGGTAAAGTGGTAAAGTTTGAAGGATAGTTAAGTCTGAAGCTGATTGCGAGGAGTTACAAAGGCATCTCACAAAACTGGGTCCTTTATCTATGAGAGGTGGTGCTGCCAGTTGAACTGGGAACTCCTGCAAACTTGCCTCTTGATGCTGTTCCACCTAACTATATATTTTCAGGCCCTTGTGCAAAATGGAAGCTCATTAAGTATGCAAATGAGGCATGGCAATATTCATCACTGCACCTCATTTGCATATGTTATTGTGCAAGACTGGCCAGTGTAGATGTAGCCAATAAGAATGGGGAATTTCAATGATCCCTTCATTGACCAGGTATGTGTCACTTCAGGGGCAAACAGTGAAGTGGTAAAGTGGTAAAGTTTGAAGGATAGTTAAGTCTGAAGCTGATTGCGAGGAGTTACAAAGGCATCTCACAAAACTGGGTCCTTTATCTATGAGAGGTGGTGCTGCCAGTTGAACTGGGAACTCCTGCAAACTTGCCTCTTGATGCTGTTCCACCTAACTATGAATTGAGCCAGCTACAAACTAGGATCTCTCTGTAGTCTGGTGGTTTAACTGTTTGCTTCAGCGGTGGGAAGATTCTTGGACATGCCTGGTTCAGCTCTTGCCTCTGTCCCTTCAGAAGGAATTTAAATGAGGATATCTGTCTCCCAGGTGATCAGTGAGGTGGGACATCCCTGTTTGAGTCCACAGTCCTGAGGGCTTCCCTCTCCAGTCCCACTAAGCGGTCGCAGGAAAGGCAGCCAGGAACTGGTTAGCATTTGTAACTGGGAGCTACTTTTCTCCAGGCTGCTCCTTACCTTCACCTCTCTTCTCCCTCCCACCCCTCAGAACACATGGTCCAGGAGAGCTGGAAGGTTTCCCAGCAACCAGAAGGTTGGAATTTGTACTCGGTGCTATTAAATGCAGGACAGGCACGTGGGCAGCAGCTCACCCGGTTCATTTATTTAGACGATGGGTTTACGCGCCAGGGAAAAGCAAAAGGGAGACAGGAGCAGAGATTAGGTGAGCAAGGCGCAGGGATGGGTGGGTTTGACACATGTTCCATTGCACCCTCTAGTGGGGCGAAAGCGAAAGCTGGAGAAAATACAGAGAAAGTTGGATGATACCATCTGTGCTGGATCTGAGCCTGAACGGCCTCTATATTCACCCCTTTGGCTATAAAAGCAAGTCACATACAAGATGCTTAAGAACAGTGAATAGATATTATGTGGATAGGTGCTAAAAAAAATCTTGAGCCCTTCAACCTCCCTGGACACTCAGTAACAGACGTGAAAGTTGCCATACTTGATCAAAAACACCCTTCAAGAACAGACTGCAGCATGAAACTGCAGAGCTGGAATTCATCTGCAAACTTGGCCTTATCAGGTTCAGTCTAAACAGAGACAGGGAGTGACTAGCTCACTTCAAAAAGTAATTTTCCCCTCTTCTATTCTCGCCACTTGTTGGGCGTGGGCCACATCCACCCTAATTGAATTAGCCTCGTTAGCACTGGTCCTCCACATAGTAATGTAACACTCCCATCTTTGCATCTGTGTGTAGATCCCTGCGATATGGTACTTCCCACTTCCTTCATCTGATGAAGTGGGCTCCAGCCTATGAAAGCTTATGTCCGAAAACATTGGTTCATCTTTGAGATCCCACAGGACTCCTTGTTGTTTTTGCTGAAACAGATTAACACTGCTACCCCTCGGGCTATGTCTAGATTGCAGGCTTCTTTCCAAAGAAGCTTTTCCAGATGAGCTCTTCCAGAAAAACTTCTTTTGAAGAGAGCATCTACATACCAAAAGCACAATGAAAAAGCAAGGTGCTTTTTCGAAAGACAGTGTCTACATTCATTGGCTGCTATCTTGCATTTCAGTTCTGATTACTGTAGATGAAGCGGCCACCAGGACACCTATGCTTTTTCCTGGATGTTTCTTATTTTGAAAAAAACTCCCTCTTCCATGTCCACAGGCGCCTTTTTCCGAAAAACCTTTTTCGGAAAAAGGCTTCTTCCTCAGAAAGAGGTTTACCTCTGTTGGAAAAACCCTTCCATTCTTTCAACTTTCTGTTGAAAGAATACAATAGTAGTGTGGACGTAAGTATAGTTTTTCCAGAAAAATGGCCATTTTGCCAGAAAAACTCTGCAGTGTAGACATACCCTCAGAAACTTGTCTCCATACCTGGATGTCTTCAGAGCATTGTATGACAGCATAATCTGCCAACGTTGGCAATTGGGAGAAAAAAGAACAGTCCCCATTCCTCCAAATTCCTAAAAACCCTCCCACTGACAGACTTGGGGTGTCAAAACAGGACTCACCTCTCAGTGACCTGGTTTGTGTTTTGCATAATAAATACACATCCAAGGGGAATTTGTACAACCAAAGCTGTTCCCCCTATTTCTGCCTTACGGCCATTTGTAAGTGCGAAATGACATTTTTGTATATGCAATAAAAACCCGAGCCTCTAATGAGCAAGCTTTAAAAAAGTCACAGCTGAGCTGTGCAAACGAGCGTTTTTGTGCATGCCTGAGGCAAGGTCGCCTCTTGTGCATGTATTTTGCACGTACAAATGAAGAGCGTTGGGAGAGACAATGCGAAAGCTTGAACTTTTGAAAACTGGGAGCAGGCTGGAAGATTTTACTTACCAACTTCCCTCCCCTGCCCTGGAGGATGGAAGCTGAGCTAAGAGGATTTGGTTCAGTGTTTTGGATTCTCCATCTCCTTCATGTGATGTGTGGTTACTGCACATGCAGTGTTCCCTCTAATTTTTTCCACCCATGTGGAGGAAATTTTGTTCTGTGGACCGAGGCATGTGTAGATGTGCACCACCAGTAGAAATACACATTGCCGGCTGTGGAACTCTGCCAATCAGTTGGGTGGCATTTGAATCTCTCCTGGGAGTCCACTCAAGAGTCCAGTTTACAGGGAATGCTGCACATCTATAAAAATACAGATGCTGAATAAACGCTATTTAAAGGGCTCCCCAAGTGGACAGCTCCTCAAAAGATCGGGAAGAGGTGCTCCATTTCAAACACGCTGAAATGGGTCAGGCCTCTTCTGAAGGCTTCAAACTCCCTCCCTCTTTGGATCAACATTGAGCTTCAGACAGAGATGGGCATGTGTCTGGAAAGGCAGGGCAGCATTCAAGTGACCAGGGCCAACTCGGAAGAAATCCAGGAGGGGCCCTGCAGCAGAGAGAGGGTTTGTACCCTTAAAGCTTTGCCCAATTTAGATTAATTCGCTAATCAAATAGTCGCTGCAATTTGTATCACCTATTCGATGAGTCGATAAGGGCTCCTCTGCCTCTGAAGTGTAGCACTGTTGCTACACTTCAAAGGCGACAGCGCTGCAGGGAGCACAGAGCCAACAGCGTCAAGCTCCCCGCGGCGTTTCAAAGCGGCAGTGCTGCATGGAGCCCGGGGTCAGCGGAGGACTCCCCAGGTGGCCGCAGGCTGCATGTGGCGTTTCAAAGCAGCCACGCTGCGTGGAGCCCATGCAGCCGCTTTGGAGCACCCTGATGCCTCTTTCTGACAGAGGCAACAAGGGGGCGGGGAAGCAACTAGTCAGGCAGTCTGTCGACTCGTCGTTCATATCCCCATGCTGTGCACCCCTCCATGCTCATAGAACGGCTGCTGTGCCTGATTTGGGTGTGGGGAGGGCAGGTTATTATGTTTTAAACCAGCCACAGAATGAGTTTTTAACCTTTTTTCATTTTATTAGCGCTTCTCTAGGCCTGGGGCATCCTGCCTGCAGGCACACATGGACCAAGACCTCAGTAGGAGCCAGCATCCCCTGGCCAGTTTAACATCTGATGCGGTATCCCTAGGCTAGCTAGACTTCTAACCCACACACACTCAGATGTGCTAACTGGAACCTTAGCCCCCAATCTACACAAAGCCAAGGGGGCGAAGATGAGCAAGGAGGAGGGCAAATACCAGCTGACGCCGACCGGATATGGAGAGCTTAGCGTGGCGATCCAGGGCGGCCCTTTCCTGAGAGCGGATCCCTTTGCCGGAGGCTCAGTCGAAGCGGCCAGTGGGTATCCGAGGCAGGCAGAAGTAGGCGTCAGGGAAGAGGCTCAGGTTGACGGGGTTGCCGTCCAGGCGGATGTCCTCCAGGGCCTGTCGGACGTGACTGTGGTCCTGGCTCTCACAGAACGTGTCTTTGTGAATGGTTTGGATGTTGTTGTTCTGGTTGGGAAGGCAAAGCGCAAAGCCAGCATGAAATGGGGTGGTGGGTTTGGGCACGAATTGTCCCTGGCTGGTATGAACATCTGGGGCTGGAACTAGATTTGACCCACAATTGCAATATGCTGGGGGAATGTCTCACCCCAGATACATCCCTGGCTTGATTGAGACCATTGACAAGTGGTTCCAATGCCAGAACCACAGTGGGACCAGGCCGAGGCCTGGAGTACAGAGGGGCACCCGACAGGCCTGAGGGGTTCTGGCAGAGCGGGGTGTGCGTAGGGGACCAGCGCTGGGCTGTCTGTGGGAAGTGAGTGGAGAATGAGGGGCACTGTGAGATCTGTGGGGGGGCCATTGGGTCTGGGGCACTGTGAAAGTGGCTGTAACTTCCAGGGACCCCTCACCAGCTCAGCTGGGCCCCCTGGCTTGACTCAGTCACCGCCTCACCTGCAGGTGCAGGGACCGCAGGCCCTCAGGCAGGGGCACTGGGATAGCGTCCAGCTTGTTATCCGACAGGTGCAGGAACTGCAGCTTCTTCAGCTTCTGCAGACACACAGACCCATGGGTCAGCCCTCACCCTGCCCAGGCCCCGGCCTGGCTGAGAGTCTGGAAGGAACGTAGCCAAGATCCACGCCGTGGGGTGCAACTCGGCTCTTGGCTGCACAGAACACGCGGCTCTCAGGCTTGCCTGGGGCTGTCCCATCCCAGCAAACACTCAGCGTTGTACAGAATATCGGTGTTATTCCTGCAGGACCCAGGGGTAGAAATCGGAGCCAGACCGGTTTGGCTAGACCAAGGGGATGTCTACACGGCAGTGTGAGCCCAGTTGTAGACCCTGGGTTTGTTCACCTCAGGCTGGAGCAGCTACACTCGTTTCAACCCCGGGTTAGGAACTGTTGAACCCTGGGTCCCCCTCCGGGCTGCAGCGTCTACACTGCATTCTGGGGGCCTGCGTCCAATGGGGGGAAACTTGCCTGTGCAGCTGATGTGTCTGTCCCGAAGTTGAAAGAAAGTCAGCTTGTGTGAGACTGTGGGGTAGGGTTGGTGGATTCCCAGAGCATGAATCCACCAGGGCAAAGCAACAGGCTGTTAACCCTGCGTCCCATTTTGATTCAGGTTCAGCTCTTCTGCCTCATGCAGTCCTGGAGCCCTGGGTCAGCATGAGTTGTGAGGAGGTTGGGAGGGAGGGAGGCAGGAGATGGGGCGAGTTTGAACCCGAGTTCAAACCCTGGACTTATTTTGCATAAGAACGGTCATACTGGGTCAGACCAAAGGTCCATCTAGCCCGGTATCCTGTCTGCAGACAGTGGCCAATGCCAGATGCCCCAGAGGGAGTGAACAGAACAGGAAATCATCAAGTGAACCCTCTCCGGTCACTCATTTCCAGCGTCTGAAAAACAGAGGCTGGGGATACCATCCTGGCTCATAAGTATTGATGGACCTGTCCTCCATCAGTTTATGTAGCCCTTTTTGAGCCCTGTTAAAGTCCTGGTCTTTACCACATCCTCTGGCAAGGAGTTCCACAGGTCAATTGTGTGCTGTGTGAAGAAAAACTTCCTGTTGTTTGTTTTAAACCTGCTACCTATTCATTTCATTTCATTTTGTTTTAAATCTGCTACCTATTCAGGGGTGACCCCTAGCAGTGCAGACATATCCCCAGAGACCCCCAGCTTGGAGGGTGGAAAAGAAGCGGTGACATTTGGGGACCCCCGTTCAGAACGTTGAGGCAGTCCCCTGTCATGGGACACAGGCTCACCCTGAAGGCTTCAGGGTGGAGACCGGAGCTCTGCAGCCTGTTGAACCGGGCATCGAGCCTCACGAGGCTGCTGGGCAAGGCGGGCAGCGCGGGCAGCCGGTTCTCCGCGAGGATGAGCTCTTGCAGGGTGCTGAGCTGCCGGAAGGCGTCGTCGTCCACACACGAGATGTCGTTGCTAGTCAGGTCGATTCGCTTCAGCTTCTCTGTGGAAGGGGAGAGGAGAAATTCCACCGTCACAAACCTCTGCCGGCGCTCACAGCGGAGCTGAGCGATGGGGAAGGGCTAGGCCTGGCCAGAGCCCTAGGAGAGGAGGCCAGCAAACAATGCTAGCATGGACCAGGCTCTCAGCTGGTGTCAATGAACAAAGCTCCATTGAACTCAATGAGCCGGTGCCCATCTACACCAGCTAAGCTTCATCTAGCCCCTGGCCCAGCAGAGCCTGGCTCTGGTGGCCGGGGACAGCGCCAATGGACATGACAAATGCACTTATGGCTTTGCTGGTGTGGTTCCCCCAAGGGACAGGTTTCTAAGAGCTCCACATCCCCCCCAGGTAGAGGGATATAGGAGAGCTCGGCACCTGCTTCCTGCCTAAACCAGAGCAGGGCTTTCCAACTCGCTTGGCACCCAGCAGGTCCCACTTCCACAGTGTTCCTGTGTTACCATGCTCTGCCAGCCCCAGCAGGGCATGTTCTAGCTCTGCCCGCCTGCCTTGGGCAGGGCCCCTTCCATTGACTAGCGCTGGGTGCAATTCCTCCCAGCAGGAGAGAAGGGGTTTTAAAGCTACAGGGCTCCTATTCCAGCCAGCCAAGGCAGGATCCAGTGGGGAAGGATAGTACCACACGACCATCCTGCCTCTAGAGCAGGGCTACTCAACACGCTGCCCATGCACCACATGCGGCCCGTGGCCCGTTTGTTTGCGGCCCGCGGTGCAATTTGGGTTTACGCAGGGCTCCACTCGCGGCCTGTGGGTGGGAGCCAAAACAAAAAAGTTGTCAATAGAATGGTCCTCTGTTGCTATGGGGTTTAGAGTTAAATTGCTGGACTGTCATTGCTCATTAAAAGTGGTGGAAATCGGGGAAATATTGCCTTTTATTAATAGCAGCAGAACTGACTTCAATGGGGCCTGTGTATTGTGTAGTCTTGCCTCAATCTTTGTATTCATGCCCGTCAGTGTGAAAGAAGCTATTTGCATATATTTGCATGTAAATGCAACCACACTTAAGTTGCAGCCCTTGTGAGTATCACTGTGGAGTGATATGAGCTTCCGAAGTTGAGTAGCCCTACTCTAGAGAGACCCGTTGATAGACTTTTCGGAGCTGGGCAACCCCCCCGGGAGTTTGCTTCATGGGGCATGACAGAACGATCGTTTTCTTTGGGTGTTAACGATGGGGGTGCAAAACTGAGGCCCCCAGTGTTTGAGTTCAAAGCAGGATGGAACGGATTCACACAAAGGGGCCGGCACAGTGTGGGGGTGCTGAGTGCTGTTGAAGCAAACTGCAAACCCTGTAAGTGACGGAAACATGCCCAGTTTCCCCAGTCTCAGCGTGTATGCGCTTGGGGCCAAAGCCAGCTCTGGTATCTACAGGCCTGGTGCCCATTGATGCCATGGGGGTGTGGCATTTGTGTGCTCCTGCCACTGGAGCTGGTGCCCAGGGAGTTAATCTGAGCCCTCCGCCGTGGCTGTGTGTTTGGCTGGGAGGAGTCTAAACCTGCCAAGGGAGGATTCAATGTCAGACTGGATCTGGGCTCAGCCTCAACAGGGTACAAATCCCAAACAGGATCCAGAGTGACAGGGGTCTGGGCACCCTCTTGCCTCAGTTCTGCAGTGTGTCCACTTGGCACTGGCTCACAGAAAGCTGCGCCAGGGGCCAAGTCCAGCGGAGGGCAACCAAAATGATGAAGGGCCTGGAACACATGACTTTGGAAGGGAGCAGCTGAGAGATTTGGGCTCATTTAGTCTGCAGAAGAGAAGAGTGAGGGGGGATTTGATAGCAGCCTTCAACTTCCTGAAGGGAGGTTCCAGAGAGGATGGAGAGAGGCTGTTCTCAGTGGTGGCAGACGGCAGAACAAGGAGCAATGGTCTCAAGTTGCAGTGGGGGAGGTCTAGGTTGGATATTAGGAAAAACTATTTCACTAGGCGGGTGGGGAAGCACTGGGATGGGTTCCCCAGGGAGGGGGTGGAGTCTCCATCCCTAGAGGTTTTTAAGTCCTGGCTTGACAGAGCCCTGCCTGTGTTGATTTAGTTGGGTTGGTTCTGCTTTGGGCAGGGGGCTGGACTCAGTGACGCCTGAGGTCCCTTCCAGCCCTGGGATTCTATGATTCTAAGTTTCCCTCTACCCCATGTCCTCCAGCAGGGCACTGTGACACACGGATGCCACCTTATGTGGGGAAGGGGTCGGGCTTCGTGCCACATACTCAGCCTGGCAAAGTCGCTGGCTCGGATGTGGCGGATGCGGTTGAAGCGGGCGTAGAGGTAGGTGGTCTCCAGCGGCAGAGGTGGGATCTGGTCCAGGTCGGCGTCATCGCAGTACACGGAAGTGCTGAGGCAGACGCAGACCAGGCAGGTGGGCAGACCTGGGGCAGGGAGAGACAACACGATTGGGGCTTGGGGGTATTAAGAGCAACCTCTGACTGAGGCCTTCAGAGAGGCTGGGGGCCTCCATTCTCAGCTTGGCCTCACTCCACAGAAGCCCATGGGACTCAGCAGGTGGAGACCTGGCCTGTCACTCCATGCTGTAAGTTAGGAACTCAGCTCAAGGGAATGTTCTTGACAGAATCTGGAGCCCTTTGGAACTCCTTTGCTTCTGGGGTTTGCTGCAAACCCCGAGGCCGGATCACGTTCCGCTAGAGGGTCCAGGGCTTTGTCTTAAAGAATCATAGAACACTAGAACTGGAAGGGACCTCGAGAGGTCATCGCGTCCAGTCCCCTGCCCTGACAGGTAGGACGCTTTTCCTAATGTCCAACCTAAACCTCCCTTGCTGCTACACGTGTAAAAATTCAGGACTCTCTCGGGGGGTGGGGTGAAGGTCTGGTCAAGTGGGGAAGACTAGCTCGGGCTCAGGGACCTTTCTGACAAAACCAAGCCGTGGCGTCCACTGCCCAGGATTTCTGGTGACCTAAAATCAGCCAGCAGTGGAGAGCCAGAGCCGAGGGAAAACCCCTTCCCAATCCCGGACCAGAACTTTGGAACAGTCCCAGGAAAGCCCAGCCCCCAGGAATCCAGGCCTGGACTTTGGTGTTCAGTTGTGCTGGAAGGGTCCTTAAAACCCAGAGTCTGTTCCAGGCCATGACGTTGCAGGGTCTGGGATTCAACCCTCTACTTTCAAGGGAGTCTGGGACGGCTGCGCATTGCAGGGAGAGTCAGAGCACACCAGGGCAGGGCAGCCCAGCCGGGCGGATCCCCTACCCGCACTGTACCAGCTATGTAGATAGACTGGGGGAGGGCAGCCCAGCCGGGTGGATCCCCTACCCGCACTGTACCAGCTATGTAGATACCCTGGGGGAGGGTAGCCCAGCTGGGCGGATCCCCTACCCGCACTGTACCACCTATGTAGATACCCTGAGGACTTTGGTTTCCAGGGCTGTCAGCTCAGCTCCTTCCACCAAGCGCTAAATTCAAAGGAAAACAAAACAAGCCACAATCGAATCAAGCGAAATGCCAGAACAATCAGCCAAAAGAGCTGCTTAAAAACAAATCAACCCAGGCCAAATCGCTCCCTGGGGGTGCAGCTCCACCAAACACAGCCGTGGTACACCAGGGATCGGCTTGGCCCTTCTGCACGGACGGAAAGGAGACAAAAGGAAACAGTTTGCATCAAGCAAACATCTGATTCCCCTGCGTCTGGAACCAGACCCTGCTCAGCCAGGCAAAGTGGCGGTGGCAGCGTGACAAGATTCCTGGCACCAATTAAAACTGCGCGGGGCGATTTTTTTGTTGTTTTTCCTCGTCTCCCCCCCAGAGCGTGTGCAAGACTCCAAGTCCATTAGTGGGGGAGTTCAAAGCAGAAAGGCAACAATTTCCCTGCGCCTGCTACGTAATTTGTCCCAGTTTGGAGGGACAGAAAATGAATAAAGTTATTTATGCCTCGCAACAGGATTTTAATTGCCACTAATCTAATTGCTTCTCTGTTCGACTGTCGCAACATCTCTGCTCGTTAAAGTGTGGTGGCTTTGCTGGCGTTCTTGGTGCTGCAAAGCGATTGCTTTCTGAACCCCTCCTGCCTGCAGCTGGATATGGGAGACAGCCTGCCATGTTCCTCAGGGCAGCAGAGGCTAGCGAGGGGGCTGAATGCATGGCCCTTCATCTCGGTGGGCTGTAAGGTTTTCCTAACCCAGACTGTCTCCCAGGATAGGGTCGTGTTGCGCCCTGCGCGTGTGCACCTGGAATTTGTGTGGGGGGGGCCGACTGAACAGTAGCCGTGCTGTGATTGGATGCGGAGGGAGCGCACGGCTCTCCCAGCCAATCAGCACACACCTCCCTTCATGTGCCCTGGCTTTATGTGCGTGTCACGTTAGCAATACCGGTAAGGGAAAAACGACGTGGATGAAAACCAGCAGCATCTCAACCCGCAGGCCACCCATGGAAGCCCAATGGCGGCGGCGGATTTAGGGCAGGGCGAGCGGGGTGGCTGCCCCGGGCCTCACGCTTCTATAGGCCCCGCAAAACTCTCATCCGTCCCTGCCCAATGGGCCAGATGTGGCCACAGGTTGCCCACCACTGTGACTCCCGTATCCATCCCCGTATCTCAGCTCCCAGGCTCAGCCACCGCTTCTTCTCTCTCCTCCCAGGAGTCCCTCTGCCCCATGCTGGGGCTCTGCCAGTGGGCCAAAGGCCTCCAAAATTCCAGCCCCACCCTGTGCGGCCGAGGGAGTGCTCTCACTTCCAAAGTCCCCTCCGCCTCCCCACTGGGAGGCGCTTTCTCTGTACCCTTCACCCCCATACTGAGAGAAGGCTCTTTCCACACTTGTGTGGTATTTGGCGACCGATTCAGCTGCCTCTCCTGGGAGTAATCCCCCCTGCCATGTGGCACCATTATCCTGCAAGAACAGCTATCACGGGCTGGTCTCGCACTCACCCTGTTTGATTATGGACCTGAGCAGATCTGGTGGGGACGTCGGGGGCGGCTTTCTGGATGCGTCGGTCAGCATGGCTCTCGTGCCCTCTGGCTGCTTGGTTGGAGGAGCCAATGTACCCACCTCGATCTGCAGACACAGCACAAGGGGCATCATGGCACCACGCACAAGCCGTGCAGCCACGCTCTCATCAAAGCTTTGACCCATCACTGCCTGCTCTCTTGCTCCTGGGGAGGGGAAGAAGGCGGCGCAGGACAGATTGGAGGGCTACAGCAGTGAGTTACCTGAACTAGCCAACATCTAGGGTAGGAAGGCGCTTAAGCCCATTGGAATGCACCTAACACCCTTAGGCTCTGCTGAAGGCACTGCCCC